TTTGTGCCTTGAATCTTAAGACAGCCGCATAATTTCAAGAGCATGCAATTCTTACGTATCAGCCAGTTATATTGACCTTGATAAAGTTTATCCAGGGCCTGGGGAGGTGACAAGGTGGAGCAGGGAGTGCCTTGACCTTTGCACAGTGGTGTCAGCCGCAGCTAAGCATCTTCCTAAGGAAATGCACCCCGTAGGCCACTGTGGAGGGAAATGGCTTGAGGCTGTGCTTGAACAAGGGATGGCCATGGACTGGACAGAAGATGGGCACTGACTCAAGGGCAGCCTATCCACTGGCTGGCTGATACCTAAGAGGAAGCCAGAAGAAAAAGGCCCCAGTCAGGAGTTTCCAGTAATTGAGCTATGCAGGCTCTGCCCCTCTGGGAATCAAATAGGGGAATATGGAGTCAGGTGGCAGAAGAGAAAGATGTGCAAGAAACAGAAGCTGACATTGGAGGATGGAGTGAAGATTCATGAATTGCTGAGAAGAGATCTGACAACAAAAGCCCGTCCAGTTCCTGACCTCAGAGCTCTCACATGCACAGCCCGGAGTCAGGCTCCAGGCTGTTGACCCAGAGCCCTGGCTCCTAATCAGCGGCTCAGCACAGGGAGCCCAGGATTCTGCTGTTCAGAGAAGAAGCAGTGCGGGCCTCAGCTAGACCTTGCCCAAAGAAAAGTGTACTGTTAGGGACCACAGTCAGGGGACCTGGGACCTACATAGTGACAGCCAAGTAGCCAAATGCTGAGTGGTATGGGCCTGGGCTTCAGCAGGAAGCCCCGTTGCCTCCTAAGGCACCTTGGAGTCTAGAACCATTTAGACTACCATTCCTTTCTTCCCAGGGAGACTGTGCAGTCATGACATATTGTGTGGCTAATGTCACACTGCGAGGTCTGACACAACTGTCCTAGAAATCACATGGAGGGAATGCAAAAACACAATATAGAACCTTGTTCTGGGAATGACAATGCCACAGTTCTCTTGACTTGAAGCTTGTGTGGCTTGGGGCAGGGGCAGGGCGCTCAGGCTTATGTACTTGTCTTGAAAATTAAATTATGCTAAGCAAGACTCAGGGAAAAGGGACAGAGGTTGACTTCACTTGCCTGAGTTCTGCTCCCCAGCCAACAGGGTTACGGAGGCTGTAGCAGAAGTACATCCCATGCCACTTGAATTTCACCCCAGGCTTAGGACCTAGTGCCAGCGACCAGTGCCTGGGCCTCCTCTGCGGCAACCCAGGGAATCATGTGTATGTCAGACCACCGAGTGAGACCCACCACATTCACTGAGCCCCCCTTCCATGCTACACACTGTCCTAGTGCACTTACAGATAATGATTACATTTGTTCTCCCCGTAACAAACACGCCTCCTGACACATATTAAAGTTATAAAAGAAGGCTGCATATTAAGCCAGAACGGAGTGAATCTTGCAGGCAATTTTAAATTCAGATTTTACTATTACTTCTTCTTTTGCTCTCACCACTATTCCTCCCATAGTTATTTTAAGAGCAGCATCATTTGAATGACTGTATGTCTGCATTTAGACTTTTGTCTCCCTTGACCATCTTGGTGGTCAAACTCTAAATGGATGAAAGAATTACTGGCCTGGGTCACATAGCACACACCTTCTACACTGAACTGAATTCCCAATTCAAGGGTTTTCAAGAGTCTTTGACTCAATGGTTTTTCATCTAAAATGCTTCCTGTGAAATCTGAGTGCTGTGAAAGGGGAGACCCTCCCATACCCATCTAGAATCCACAGGTTTGTCTGTTCAACATTTATCAATTACCTGGCACTGGGGACCCAGAGATGACCAAGGATGAATCCTGGCGTAAAGGAAGTCAAAAGCCCTCTGTGAACCCAGGCTGGCAGGCTTCATCTCATTTAAAGCTCAGAGCAGGCCCAGGAGGGAAGAATGATTGGAAATAAGTGTCTTGTCCCTGGTCACCCAACCAATGAAGAGTAGAGATTTGAACCCAAGTCCTCTGCCCCCACAGGTGGCCTCTTCTATGCTCTCCACTGGTAGATCCTCAAATGCGTGCATTAATAGTCACAACACCAAAGAGAAAGTGATAGAGCCTGAGAGGAGTTCAGACATGGAAGAGTCAGCTTCCGCTCAGCGGATCGCAGAGGAGGTGACATCCAAGCTGCGCCTGGAAGGATGTCCAAGTTAGTCATTTCTCAGGAGGAAAAGGCACGCATGCCTAGTGGCAGGGCCGTGGGCACTGGATTTTGTCTGCCCAACTCCATTCCCCTTTCTTTTTGGACCTCAGCACCCTGATCTTCCTTGGGACCTGCGACCCTTCCCTTCTCAGTCCATGTGGTTTGCACAGGGTGGGCCCCAAGCCCTGGCTCCAGGGTGGCTAGGGGCCCATGTCTGGCCAGTCAGAGGATCACATTCCTCTGACCACAGTGTTGGGCTAAAGGTTGGGCACATGACAGACCTGAGCCAAGGAGACGTAACTCCAGGACTCTTTGGGCCTGCCAGGGAGAGAGATTTTGCTCAACCAGAGATTCTCAGAGGATAGGATGTACTCCTGGGGTTGTTAGCAGCCACCTGGCCACCATGTGGGATACCAGCCTATCTCCAAATGAGACCATGAGAGAGGAGAGCAGGCAGGGAGTTGAGGGAGACTCAAGGGCTGCTGACATAGTTTGAGGCTCCCAGATCCAGCCATGTCTAAAGCCAGCCCATTCCTGGGCTTCTGTGTAGTAGCCAATAAATGCCCTTCTCTGTGTAGGCCAGTTTCAATTGGGCTTCTATCCTTAGATTGATCAAGTAAGCAGAACAGAGGGCTAGAAATAATACTCTGAGAGAAGGTAGCCACTGAGATGATGTTAGACCTTGACATTACTGTTCAGCTGGGGATGCAGAAATCAAAAATTCCTTTTTAGCCTCTTATTGAACACAATTTATCAACTGGTTGATTAGAAAGCATGAAAATAGAATCTTAAGAGCTTTAGCCAATCTACTATGGTTTAAATTCTCATTTTGATGAGGAATCTGGAGCTCAGAGAGCTGAAGGACATGACCCACAGTGAGGCAGTAGCCCCACTGAGAGTGGAGTGCTAAGGCCATACATGGGAAAAATGGGCTTGGATGGGGAAAGAGGGAGGACCCAGATTCTGGACTGAGAGGAGGAAGTGGGAAGGACCCTGGGCAGGCCTCGTGGAGCACCAGCTTCAGAGTCAGACAGAAGTGGTTTCCGATCCCTGCCCTGCCATTTTGCTAGCGCAGTGATCTTGAAAGCCACTTCGTGTTCTATGCCTTAGCACCATTGTTTGCAAAATGGGATCCAGTCCTTCATTTACTATGATTCCTTGAGTGCTCAAAATTGACCTCTGAAGAAGACAAGATGGTCCCAGTCCTCGAGAAATTTACATTTCTGGTGAGATAAGTCAGAAAGTATACAATTTGTTTATCATAGGCTTTCCCATGGCATACTGTAGGCTTCATGGGGCAGGAATATTTGTCACTGCCTAACTCAGTCAGTACTTGGCACATAGTAGGCCTTCAACAAATATGCCTTGAGTTAATATGAGTTAACAAATAAAGTAATCAAATGGCAAGTGCTATTGAGTAAATAGAAGATAGGATGCAACAGAGTGAAATGATCTCATTTAGAGATATCAGAGAAGGAGGTATATGAGCTGCAACCTGAATGATACAAAAGCAGCCATTGGAAGAGTGGGGCAGGGGAATGCATACAAGGCAGAGAAAACAGCTCATGCAAAGGCCCTGAAGCAGAAATAAAGAATGGAAGGAAGCCGCATAACTGGAGGGGCAGTGACACAGGAACATGTGGCACAAAGTGACATTGGAAAGGCAGGCAGGGGCTAGATCACTGCAGATGAAAGGAAGAAGTTTGGACTTGATTCTAACTAAGCACAATGGGCGGGAATTGGGGAGTGTTGGGCAGGGCAGTGATGTGATCTAACTGATCTACAGGTTCAGGAGATGGCTCTGCCCACTGTGCAGTAGATGGATTTCAGCAGAAAAGAAAATGTACATCACACACAGCATCTGGGAGGCAATAGGTGCTCAGTGAACAAGCGTCCATCACCGCCCCTGAGGCTGCACCCACAAAGGTTTGCCAAGGACTGTTCTGAGCCAGTCCAGTCTAGGTCCAGGCTCTCTCAGCTCCACTCTCTGTACTGTGGTGCTAATAGTAAAGCCAACAGACTACCCTTTGGGGGAACATCCTCTCCTCCTTTTGGTTAGGGTGACAGTTCAGGAGCAGCGGGGTGGGAGCGGGTGGAGTGGGAGCCTTCTGTTAAATGTTGAGTTGCTCCCAACATACTTTTCAAACATCCATTTGCTTTTGCCCAGTCTCCTCCGTAAGAGACATGCTTTCGGATGTGTTTTGAAAAATATTCCATATGCTAATGGAATGTCACCATCTGCCAAAGAAGGCAGAGCTGTTTTTAAAGGAAAAACTATTACAGAAATGAGGTATTCACAGAGGGGCACTAAAGAGCCCGAACGTCGCTGACCTGAGGCTGACCTGGGCCGCCTCGTGTTACTAACATGAAAAGAGAGTGAGAAAATCTGAGGCCAATTACCTTCTCTCTCGCTCTCTCCCTCTCCCTCTCTCTTTTTCTCCCCTCCCCTTCTTGGAGACATGATGAAATTTCCTGAAACAAAAACTCAACCCGTTCTATAAAATGCTTTCGCCTTTGGTGGAAAAAGCCCCGATGGTCCCTTTTATCTGCTCATTCCTGAGGCTCAGCCCTGGCCCCCGTCTGTTTGTGCAGATGGGCTGCAGGGAACACTCCCAAGGACGAGGAGGCAGGGCCGGCGGGGAGGCTGCTGGGCGCCCGCTTGCTCTGCCGCCAGAGCCCTGGCCTTCCGGAGAGCCGGCGCGCCTGGCGGTGGGGAGCGGCAGTAGGCGTCCTGCCGCGCCGCTAGTGACGGGTGTGTTTCCCCAGGAGGCCTGGGCAGCTCCGAGGCAAGGGTTTAGAGAAGAAGGTTTTTCCAACCCACGGGAGCATCATCACACGCCTACCTTCCCAGCTGCTCCTCTCCGCCTGTCCCTGGCCGGCCCTCCTGTGCCCTCCTCAGAACTCAGGTTCAGGCCTCTTCCTTCGGAGGCCGCTGCGCACCTCCCTCGTCTAGGCAAGTCAGCTCCACTGGAATCCCTCTCAGTCCAATCCGAATGCACAGCCGTTCGCCGCCTCCACCCACCCCCTCCTTCCCTTATCTGGGAAGGGAGAGGAACTCCGGCCAGTTTGGTTGGCAGGGCATTCCCACCTCAAGGCCTTTGCATCCACGTGTCCCCAGCCTGGAACACTGCATGGCTGGCTCCTGTTGATTGTCCAGGGTTTGGCTTAGCTCAGCTGTTTCCCAGGCTGTTGCAACCCACCTCCCAGTGTAATCTCTTTAGAGCACTTACCACCAGCTGAATTCTTGTGAATTCATGTGTGAATGGGTGCAGTAGCAATCACTGTAGCCTATGTCTCCTGGAATGTAAGTTTCCTGAGAGCAGGGATGGCATCTCCTTTACATTAGAGCCTCACTAGAGGCACATAGGCACACACTAGCCATGGGCGCCATTCTCAGCCTCTCCGACACTTGTACTGCCCAGCTCCTTGCATCCCACCCAACTCTGTGCATTGCTGAAGGCACACCATGCATGTTTACTAATGACCAAAGGAGGCAGCCAGGGACATACTGGCGGGGGTTGGGGGAGTGGGGGAGATGTACAGATGATCTGTAAATGCAAGGGGACTGCACAGCAGGAGGCCTGGCTCCCCAGGGAGACTTCTGGCATCCTGGGCCCTGGCCTGTGGAGATGGGAGAAGCGAGGGCAGATAGATTGGAATCAAAGCTAACCAACTGCTCATTAGCCAGACACACCTCAGCCTCAGTTTCTTCAGCCAGAGGGCGGTAATAACATAGGCCCTGCATTGTTACTGAGCCTTTACCAGCAGACTTGGTCCTCACCCGGTGTGGCCATTTTTATTCTTTAGCTGTAGCTGGTGTTAACCACCCTCTCCTCTGCCTCACCCACCACCCCCGACCCCACCACCTACACACTTCTCTTCTTTCCAGTGCACTTCGGTAGTACTACCATTTGCTCAGGGTATTGGCATGTTGAGGTCTCACTCTCTTTCCAGAAACACCCACTGGGCATATGATAGGCTGACTGCTTTTAAAGCTGAACTATTCTTAGTAACAAAATGAACAAATAAAAATAACTTGGTGCAAATACTATTCACCTGGTCCATCTCACTCTGTTCCACCCACCGAACAGCCCCAGCCCTGGTTACTAACTCAAGTCCTCACTGGGATGCCACAGGGGATCGTCGGCTCTGGTATTTCCCCTCATGAAGCACACAGGCCTCAGGTGGCCTGAGCACATTGAACTTTGTCTCATCTCACACATCCTGAACCCCAACCCTTATTATAGCTTTCTCTGCTCGGGACATCCTGAGCCATCTGTTTGAATGTCACAGTTGAAAGTATGAAGAAGAGCTGGCACCAAAGTCGTTATACACCAGGTGCTGTTCTAGGCACTTTAGATTATATAATGTCATTTTTACAGTGATTATAATATACTGTGTTCATTTCATAGATGAGGAAGCTTAGGTTCGGTCCAGAGAATGCTCTTGCTCATGGGGCCTAATGTCAATTAGGTGAGAGCTCCATCCTTAGCCAGGTCTGCCGTCCCCAAGACTCACGCTCTTCCTGTCATCAGTAGACCAGTGACTCCCATGGGATGGTCTCAGTCAAGATCCAAAGGTGCTGTGAGAGTGTTCCCACTGGCGGAGCTGCAGGGTATTTGGGCGTAAATAAAACACAGCCCTTGACATCTTACTACACTGATGGACAATGACTTCAATGGGGTATGGGGGGTGACTCGGTAATATGGGTGAATGTAGTAACCACATTGTTTTTCATGTGAAATCTTCCTAAGAGTGTATATCAATGATACCTTAATAAAAAAAAAGTATAGCCCTCAAGAACAGCAAAGTCTGTTGGATCCAAGGACAGTGGTGAAGGCTGGAAGGATCTTAAGTTGTTCCCACTGAGATCTCACTAGAACATCAGGTTTAAGTTCTTCCAAGGCATGCCCCGCTACAGATGAACCTTTGGCTTCGTTCTTTCCAGGTTTTGCCAGGCCAGCCCAACCACATAAGTACTCTGAGAAATACAATTAGGTAATTCCTGGAGGCAGGATGAGTAAATAGCCAAATGTTGAAAGCAATGAGTACAATTCCATTTATAGGGTTCTGCTTTCCAGTTTCATCTGCACATACAAAAAAAATGTTACTTATTATCTGTACTATAATTCTTTCACAACACATAACCAGTAAAAATCTTAAAACACTGAGTTAGGATTTCATTGCATTTGGTGACGAGGGTCCAGTGCCCCATCTTCGGGCTGGTAAACAAGCACCTGATGATGGCCAGGGATAGTTATACCACAGAGGTGTTTTGAGTGTCATAAGGTTTTAGACCCAGCTTTGTGCAACTTAAAAATACGCAGGAGCTCCGAGGTCTTGGAGACCATGTTAATCTTAGGCCAAAATCCTGCCTTGCTTTAATGCAAACTCAATCCTAGCACAAACGCGGGCAGCTAGTCTGAATACTGTGATTGAAGACAGCGGTTACCAGGTCTCAATGCTCCTTGCCTCTCCTCCTCTTTTCAAACACCTCCCACTTTTGGTCATTTTTCAGACAAACATGTATTGAGTAATTACTGCATGCTGTTCACTTTGTCACAGGGCCTATCATTTAATTTGTCCCTTCTCTCTGGGCTCTCTTCTGTTCTTCAAACGTTTGGTTGCCAAACTTAGACAAAATGCCTCAACAGATCACTACTAGAAATGCTTAAAATTGTGCTACAGATGACAAACTGGTGCTCCAGAGATTAACGTTAAGTTGCCCATTTTTATAAACTGTATCTCCACATAATCTGGGTTTTCAGCCTAACATCACTGGGTCTGCATTCCTGCAAGACAGCAAATCATCCAGAGCTAGGGCATGTGCCCTCTGGGACCTGAACTAGTCGGTGAAACCTTCCTGTACACATGGGGAAGCTAAGGCCCAACAGGGGTACCGCCACACAGCAAATCGGTAACAGGATCATCAGCCGAGCAGCCCAACTGTCTCTCCTTACGGAGAAAACAGATGGGCTGAAATGACAGAGCACCACTCCAGTCTGACTATATCCAAGGAGTTCTACAAAATCTTTCTCAGAATCTCCATTAATCCGGATACATTTGTAGCCATGAATTTCTTACAGTAATACCTCATCTATTTAGGAAGAAAGCAACTTATATCTCCTAAACACCAACTAAGTGAAGGTAGATGACTGGAGAGGTTATGATCCAATCAGACACCTGAGTTCTTTTCACTCTGCCACTGTTTGGGCTCAACATCTGCTGTTCATATGTAGTCCAAATCATTAATTTATCATGCTTATCACAAGCAGGGATAGAAGGAGAAAGGGCAGTCACTATAGGAAAAAGCAAGAAACCACTTAGATTCCACCAAGAAATTAGCTGAATAAATTATGGTATATCCTTACAACCAACTACTACACATCCATGAGCAAGAATGAGGTAAAATCACATGTACTGACGTGGAATGATCTCAAGACTATTAGATGAGAAAGCAAGTGCAATACAGCATATGTAGCTGTTAAAAGTAGGGGTGGGGGGCAATGTGTGGGTATATGTACAGCTGTTAACATTACAGTGGTGGGGCGATGTATGTATATGGGTACATACACAAGAGCATATATAGTATGCTACTGTTAACATTAAAGTTTAACAGTAAAAGTTAAAGTGGAGGGGAGCAATGTGTGTGTATATGAGTATATAAACACACCTTTCCATACAGAGTATTATCTGTTGAAGTATATGCAAAGAACTGGCTAACAATGATTAGGGGGCTGAGGGTCAAGGGTGAATCACTTTTTACTATTTCTGTGGTTTGTAAATTGATTTTCTTAACCATATGCATATTACATATTTTAAAAACACTTTTACAAGAAAAATGTGTAGGAACACCATTTTATAGAAATACTCTTATATCTCATCACCAAAGTCCGCATTACCAACTCAGTTAACTTAACCAGAAAACTGCTACTACCCAGGATTTGAGCAGAATCCTGCAGATATTAACTGTATTCTTTCTGCTTTAGTACTCAGCCAGTGATGGGTGACTCTGCAAACACGAAAAGCCCAAAAATTACCTGCCCAAAGTGTAAGCGGGAGTGGATACAAGTGCATACCTCAGTCCATCTCCTTTCTTCACAAAACAAGAGGATCCACTCACCCATGGGGGCCACTTGAGACATTTAAGGGGCCATTTGCATATTTTTTTTACTGTAACTTGGGAACTGGACTTGTTGGGGAGGAGTTCTGAACTAGTTCCTAGCTCCTGGGCTTAAAGCACAAAGCCCCAAGTCATGGCCTTCGGTGTTATCTCGCACGAAGTTCTCACAGGCCAAAAGCAGTTTGCTTTCAACCTCATTTTACAGAGCAAATTGTATTTTAAATCTACAAACTTTAACTGTACGTCACTGAATTACTGGTAACACCAAACAGTTTTTTGAAAAATTTCTTAACAACATCAGAGTATTGCAACACTTTATTAAGAGAATTGGCTTTGAATTAGTAGCTGAAGTAACAATTGCATGAAGCCAGATTAGGTGTACTGCATAATACTCATACTTGATTTATTGACATTACTTAGCAATTTATTGGACAAAGGTCAAACTTTTTGTTTTTTATTAAGCACATTCCACAGTACAAAGCTGTCATGAATAATATCTGTACAATTTAATAGTTTCAATAGCTGTTCAGACACAAATTTATTTCAAACAGATAATTGGCAAACATAATTAATTACAAGTTAGAATTAGACTATCCCAGTGCTTTAAAACATTAATATAGCAGTAATTTACAGTTGCTCAATTATGGTTAACAAAATAATGTCCAGAGTATGGCTGGGAATTACTACTATAATCCCAGAAAGTCAGAATTCCTTGGGTGCCAAAGTCCCCTGCTATAATTTAGTAGGCACAATTCAAAAGTTGTGTGCATATTTAAAGGCCATAATCTCCCAAGGAACAAGAACTTCTATATTAAACATGCAAAAAGAACAACAGAAAGTCCATTTGTTCAGAAGAATTGCCTCCCCCCTCCCCACCAACCCCTTCCCCGGGCTCCCCTAACCAATCTGATAACAAAGCTGTAAGATGAAGAGCAGTAAAAGTTAAATCACTTTCACAACCACTGTCAAA